AGATTTTAGTTGAATGGCAGACTGAATTGAATTGATTTGGTAGGCAGTAGTGAGCCATTTTGGGTTTCTTGAGAAGAGTGACATTTTCTAGAGAAAAAAACTTTGTTTATGTGGTGTTTTATTGTTATTTAGGTGTAAGAACCACGGTTTGACACTAGGTTTTCTAACTAGTAGTCCCTAGTCCATGCTTTCACTGTTTTGCCATATGATGAGCAGTTTTTTATGAAAAAGTAACTGACAGTGATGTGTGTTGGAAAGAAACTAGAAACAGAGAGCTGCTCCAAGCTTTTTATTTTCTTTTTTCTTGTTTTATTTTTATTTTTATTTTGACTGCTGGCTGGTATGGGATCCAAACCCTTGACCTTGGTGTTGCCAGCAGCACACTAACCAACTGAGCTAACTAGCCAGCCCTTGAGCTTTTAAAATAACTTAGCTTGAGATAAGGACTTGGACCAGGGGGCTAGCATTGGAAATGGAGTGGAAGAGATAAATCTTAGATTTTTTTTTTTTTTTTTTAAAGATGACCGGTAAGGGGATCTTTACCCTTGACTTGGTGTAGTCAGCACCACGCTGTCCCAAGTGAGCTAACTGGCCATCCCTATATAGAGATCCAAACCCGTGGCCTTGGTGTTATCAGCACCACATTCTCCCAAGTGAGCCACAGGCCGGCCCTGCTAACTCTTAGATTTCAAACAGTAAGACTTGATGGTGACAAAATCACTCTTTAACTTATTAAATTCATGTTTGACTTTTTTTTAACCTGTGAGACACTTATGTTCCTTGTATAGATGTATTAACAAAAAATAATTATTTCAAAAGTGCGACTTTAAAATTATGCTTTTTATAGCTAATATTTTAGACATAAAAATTTTAAAATGTATGTTTTCAGGCTATTTGCGCCTAGGAGCCATGGCCAGAGATAAAGGAAACTTTTATGAAGCTTCAGATTGGTTTAAGGAAGCTCTTCAGATTAATCAGGTTGGTAACATTAACTCTTAGGTTTGAGAAATAATTTTTTTTTTTTACTTTTTCTCCCTCATAAATTAGTTTTTTCTTTTAATGGTTGTCATGTTTCTAGTAACCTAGTAACCTTGGTATCTCCCTGTTTGTTTGTTTTTTTTTTATTTGCATGTTAAACATGCTAAAGAGTACTAATGCTAAAGATTACTAATCA